CCAGGAGCAGCAGAGTGCTGAAACCCACTTTYGTTTTAAAATTGTGTCTGTACCAGTAGCTTTCCACATCCCTGGGGTGCAGAGCAGCCCTTTTCTGTAGCTGCTGTAGCAGGCTTTCACTGCTCCCAGCATTCTCGGCTCAACCCCGTGCATTGGCACGGAGCCCTTCCCTCCATGGGGACTGCATCCTGCCTGGCTGCTGCCCATGGCTGCACCTCTCTGCCTTAGCTGAAACGGCCCAGGACACACCAGGATGGAAAACCACAATGAAAGGAGCTTCAGGAGACCAGCTCATAATCATTCTAGCTACAACAAGAGGAGACATCTTTGACAGGCAGGGACATCCTAGAGTATTTAAGGAAACTGAGAGGCCATGAGGCCTTGTGCCTTCCTGCCCAGCCTGTGCTGTACTACTGACTCCTGCATGCTGTGCCCAGCTGGCTCCTTGGCAGCACACTGAGAACATTCAGATATTCACCAACTCACATTTCTATGTCATATAACCTCAGGCTTCAGGTTTTGGAATGTTTCCTCCAAAAGTTGGTGTTGGGAAGCAGTCTTGATTACAGGGGCAATTATTTTGSATAAAGCTGGAAGTCATCAGCTCAGAAAGCTGAGGTATTTATTATCCACAGCTGTGATGCATTCAGAGTGAAACCTTTGATTTACTAATTCTGTGGGCCTATTCCTCTGATGGCAGCTGAGGGGGAGAGGGAACAGATCCTTGCTTTGCTAAGAGGTTAAAAATCCTGCAAATCTCAAGGCTCTGCCTTCACGTCTTGCTTATAAAGGGTATACAAAAGCGGGTACTTCAAGGTGTGGACAAAAGTGGCAGCCTTGAAATGGTACTCCAGGTTCTTCATGCAAATCGTACAGTAAATGCTGGATTGCACCAAGAGTAAGCCTATCTCAGTGGAAGGTATCAGAGCAAACCAWGTCAGTGGGAAAGGGCCCAGCAGGTATTTTGTCCTGGAGACCTGCTGAGCTTTGAACACCTCCTTCTGGTTCCAAAGCWGAGAAAGGCCCTTTTGCTATCACTGATGGTGACTTACTTCCAGCATGGAGCCCAGGAAGGGGAGTTGCTTTGCTGTGTGCACCATTCCCAGCAGGAGCAGGACCATGCAAAGACTGCAGAAGGCCTTAGACTCTCCAGAAACCTCCTGTTGTGAGTTAAGATTTTTCCCCTTTTGTTCCCTTTMTTTGGGAATTTTTTCTTTCCCATTTGTTGCTYGGATACACTAATTGCCCAGGTCATCCTTTTAATGGGTGTGTRATTAGTGAAGACAATGCATTGTACCTATGCCYCACCTAAACTGTCTTGCTAAGCCCTGGRAGGGGGTGTGTGTATTTGTGTGGTGGGGGGGTAACTTCACTTYCTTCGCTGCTTCGCTGAGAGAAGGAKGKCTACCCGCTAGCTGCTCAGGGGGAAAGGTGGCCTGCCCTTTTTTTTCCGTGGAGCCCAGCA